CACGATTTATTTACAGTGAAAAAAAATATTCTTAGGACACGTGAATATCCAATAGAATCACCTGCATCAACGTGATACAAAGAATTCTGACGAAAATTGCGTACTAATTAAATATATAAGAAAACATCGAGCAGACTAAAGCGCCACTATGTTGAAAATACATGGGTTTAGAAAAACATAAACTACAGCATACATAGGGCAGAAAAGTATATTCTGAGGGTGCAGGGATATCAAGTAGAGTCTTCTGCATCGAGTGGAAGCAAATAATTCCGATGAAAATCGCGCTGTAATTAAATAAATAAGAAAATAGCGAACATGACGTGTAAAAGTGAATGGTGGCGCCATCTAGCGGCGGAACCGAGAAGCTCGGAATTAGAAAAATTCAAGTATCTCGAAAACCAGTCGATCAAACCTGGATTTCTTGATCTCAAAATACTCGCGGTGTTTCAGTGCATCAATTGTATATCTCGGATTTCTATAATTTGTCTTAATTGGAGATTCTCCAGAAATAGGCATCTAACACAGACAGTGGCGCAGTAGCCAACGTAGCGGCGGGCGCTGAACTATTGTAAAATCCCTATACAATGACTATGAATAATATTCCGACACCTTTTAAAATACAGTAATTTTTTTAAAACTTGATCGAGTTACTTGAATTTTTTGAAACGTTAGAGTACTAGGCAATGAGTAAACAAATATTTGCAAAAATAACAACATACAAAATAATAAAGGGATGTTTTTCCAACTATTTTATTTGACCCGATAACAAAAATTTAACATACTGTGTGTGTTTAAAAAATTTAACAAACTGATTTCGGTAACTTGAAAATTTTAACGAAATTGTTTGGCGTTGTTGTGAGCTATAAGTAATTAAAGATTGCAGAAATCACACACACACAGTATAACTTTCGAGCAATACGCGTAAGTTTATAGACTTCTACTGAATTAAGTTACCATTAATTAATTATTTAAATTTTCTTCAGAGGCTCACATAAAAAAGTTAAAAGCGCATAATTTTACAATCTTTTTTTCTTACACTAACTTACACTAATTGTTTAACATCTCAAAAGCAATTCAAGTAATTTCGTGCAATTTTTAAATAGTTGCGTTTTAAAAAGTATCCGAATATTATTGTTACTCAATCAAAATAGAGAATAGACATAGGTTTGCAAGAAATGTCACTGATAAGTCAGATTTCGACGAATTTTGGTGTTTCTGTCTTATTAATGAGATGCACTATCTGCAATATTCGTAAATATATTATATATATAAATATTATGCAAATTAAAATATCCGCGAACCTTGGGTGAAACTTTTCAATGCTGATATAGTCCACTTTATGTGATACATGGCTCTTTAGTAAACATTTTATGATTTATTTTATACAATTATTATTGTAACTCGACTTCAGAGGTATCATTGTAGCGTCATTTATTAACGAAAACCAATTTTGTTTATTATTAATGTCATGACAATGGTATCATCACCGATCGATTGTAAATGGTTTCTCGATGAAAACAAGTCTAAACATGCCATAAATCAGATAATAACATAGCATAAATAACCGTAGAAAATTGACTCTGGAATCGATGAATCTAGAAAGTTTCGAGTTTAACGAATGGTGGTACGAATTTGCATTTGTATTTTACGAATTCTAACTTCTTAAGTCGATGACTCATAATAGTATAATAATAATATATATATAACAGTATAATAGTATATAAATAATAGTATATATATATATAATAGTATAATAATATATGACTAATAAAAACTCAAAATAACATAACTCGTCTCTGATTTCTAGTATGGTATCCTAATTATTTTCAAATTGAAAACGTCTTATATTAAAGATTAATTCCAGATATTGGTAAATCATAAGGAGAAAGTATAGAAAAATAATGTTTTTGAAACCCGTTTGTGTAAGCATCAGTTCTGTTGCACAATTAATTGCTAAGATTATATTTTTAATATGCTATCGCAATTACTTTCAAATTACAATTAAAATACATTAATTTCTGTTTATCAAGTGTACTTGTGAAGGGTGAAGTTAGAATAACTCTTTGACGAATAGTGCTGCAATCTGTGACAAAATGCTGAAACTTGTCATATGGCTACAAAGATGGATTACCTTACCATGGATGGATTATTTTAACTTGACTTTATATATCCATTCTTGGTAACACAGATTTATACACATTGTATGTAATGCTTTTCTTTGCAATGTATAGCTTATAAAATTTATGTAAATTGTAAATAC